ACACACACAGCCCCCACCACCATACACCCCCACACACCCGCATCACCATACACCCCCACACACACACACACAGCCCCTACCACCATACACCCCCCTCACACACACAGCCCCCACCATCATACACCCCCCTCACACACACCCCCATCACCATACACCCCCCTCACACACACAGCCCCCACCACCATACACCCCCCTCACACACACCCCCACCACCATACACCCCCACACACACACCCCCACCACCATACACCCCCACACACACACCCCCATCACCATACACCCCCCCACACACACCCCCACACCCCCACCACCATACACCCCCCTCACACACCCCCACCACCATACACCCCCACACACACACCCCCACACACCCCCCCTCACACACACACACCCATCACCATACACCCCCACACACCCCCCCCCACACACACACCCCCACCACCATACACCCCCCACACACACCCCCACCACCATTCCCCCCCCCACACACACACACAGAGTGAGTGGCACTTCGATTCTGCGCTGAATTTGGGGGTTTTCTGCAGTGAAATGTCATTGGGGAGGAAGTGAAAACGCCGATTACGACTAACTTCTTGTGCCTTTTTGTACACAGACGAACAAAGACTGGGTTTGCACGTGTGTGTGTGGGGGGGGGGGGTCTGTGTGGAGGGGGGCAGTGGGTATGGGGGTGTGTGTGGGTGTGAGAGGGTGGGGGGCTGTGTGTATGTGCGGGGGGTGGGGGGGCTGTGTGTATGTGCGGGGGGTGGGGGGGCTGTGTGTATGTGGGGGGGTTGGGGGGGGCTGTGTGTATGTGGGGGGGGGGCTGTGTGTATATGGGGGGGGTGGGGGGGCTGTGTGTATGTGGGGGGGTGGGGGGGCTGTGTGTATGTGGGGGGGTTGGGGGGGGCTGTGTGTATGTGGGGGGGGGGCTGTGTGTATATGGGGGGGGGGGGGCTGTGTGTATGTGGGGGGGGGGCTGTGTGTATGTGGGGGGGGGGGCTGTGTGTATGTGGGGGGGGGTTGTGTGTATGTGGGGGGTGGGGGGGGCTGTGTGTATGTGGGGGGGGGCTGTGTGTATGTGGGGGGGGCTGTGTGTATGTGGGGGGGGCTGTGTGTATGTGGGGGGGGGGGCTGTGTGTATGTGGGGGGGGGGCTGTGTGTATGTGGGGGGGACTGTGTGTATGTGGGGGGGGGGCTGTGTGTATGTGGGTGGGGCTGTGTGTATGTGGGGGGCTGTGTGTATGTGTGTGGCTGTGTGTATGTGGGTGGGGGGGGCTGTGTGTATGTGGGGGGGTGGGGCTGTGTGTATGTGGGTGGAGGTGGGGCTGTGTGTATGTGGGTGGGGGGGCTGTGTGTATGTGGGTGGCTGTGTGTATGTGGGTGGCTGTGTGTATGTGGGTGGCTGTGTGTATGTGGGTGGCTGTGTGTATGTGGGTGGCTGTGTGTATGTGGGGGGCTGTGTGTATGTGGGGGGCTGTGTGTATGTGGGGGGGGGGCTGTGTGTATGTGGGGGGGGGGGCTGTGTGTATGTGGGGGGGGGGCTGTGTGTATGTGGGGGGGGGGGGCTGTGTGTATGTGGGGGGGGGGGCTGTGTGTATGTGGGTGGGGGGGGCTGTGTGGGGGGGGGGGGGGGGGCTGTGTGTTGGTGTGAGGCTGGGCTGCCCTCGGCACCATCTTGAAAGTCATCTCAGTGGAAAGTGACAGACATTTTGTGGGCAGTTGTTTGATTGGATATTTATTTCCACAGCAGCTCACACTCGCCCTCCTTCCACCTCACACTGCCTCCATCTCACAACTCCTTCCACCTCACACTCCCTCCTTCCACCTCACACTCCCCTCCTTCCACCTCACACTCCCTCCTTCCACCTCACAACTCCTTCCACCTCACACTCCCTCCTTCCACCTCACACTCCCTCCTTCCACCTCACAACTCCCTCCTTCCACCTCACAACTCCCTCCCTCCACCTCACACTCGCCCTCCCTCCACCTCACACTTGCCCACCCTCCACCTCACAACTCCCTCCACTTCACACTCGCCTTCCCTCTACCTCACAACTCCCTCCACCTCACACTCGCCCTCCCTCCACCTCACACTTACCATCATTCCAACCCTAAACCTCTCTGAAAAGTGTTTCCAAGTTAAATCCCGGCAAAGGGGGCAGCGACCCATTTCTGCTGACCGGTCCAGCGGCCTTTGGCACCTCCATCAAAGTCCACTTTACACTGTGCCTTTCGCTCACAGAAATCAAGCGAGTCTTGGCGGATGTTTTCCCCTCATGGACACGTCTCCCCACCCACGCACTCACCGGGCACCAGCCATTGACACTGATACCTTCCATCCTCTGGTCAGCTCAGGACCACAGCACATGGCGCACTTACCATGTGAGCCAGAGAGAGGACAGGCTCTCCCAGTGGCCTGGCCAACAATCCCCGGGCCTGTGTGTGTGTGTGTGTGTGTGTGGGGGGGGAACCTCATGGGCAAAACAGTTATTACACTCGAAATTAATTACGTCTGGAGGTTCGAGACGTTTCTTATCAACAATAACAAATTCATGTCAGGAGAACGTCCCAAGGCGCCGGATCAATACAAACATGTGGACAAAAGTAATGTCTCCAACTCTCTTCTGTTAAAAAAAACACTATAATGGTCACTCTGCGTCTGCCTTTGGAGACTGTACGCGTTATTAACAGGTCAGAGTCACGCGCCGGCGCGTTTGGAAGCATTTGGGAAGTTAGAGAGACGGAGAGAGAGCGCGCGCTATCGCCATCCATTCGCCACCAAAGAAACATTAAGCCGTTTCCTGTTGAAAAAGAGAAATGTGTGTTTTTGAGCAAAAAAAAACCCCAAACTTGCGAATAAGCCACAAGTTTGAGAGGGAACCAGACCCCCAACACACACACACACACACCCTCACACACACACACTGTCACTCACACACACACACACACACTCACACCGACTGGAGAAGCGAACCAGCGGAATATCCCAAGTTTCGATGCTCAAAAGAAAAGGCAAAACGTGTTTCGCAGTTTCGATTTGTTCACCGTTGAAACCATTTTCCACAACTTAAACAAAAGGAACTTCTCCACATGGGGCTCATTGGATGGCAGACGGCCAAAGGCGGTCAATGAGAGAGAGAAAGAGAGAGAGAGAAGAGAGAGAGAGAGAGACCCAGAGAGAGAAAAAGATGTCTTCAGCCCAGTGCCAGGTGCACCCCCTCCCCCCCCCCCACACAGGTAACCAGACCCCCCCCCCACACACCCCCACAGGGCACTGCCAAACTAACTATTTATTTACAACAGTGTAAACAACAGCAACTTTTTTTTAAGAAAAGGGGGAAAAAAAAGTGAGACGAAATTGCGGGATTGAAGTCCAGAAGTTCCTGCGTTAGTTCTCATTATATACACAGTCGTCAAAACAGTAAGTCATCGGAGGGGGGAGGGGAGGGGGGGGGAGGGGGGGGGAGGGGGGGGGGGGAGGGGAGGGGGGGGGGGGGGGGGGGGTCTTTCCGTCTTATTTCCCCTTTTTAATCCGCTCACGGCTTTCCCGCCACACGCTTCAGGTTAAGACACGTTGGGGATAAAATGCACTGCATTCTGCAGATGTTTCCATTGTCGCGATGCAATAATAATAATATTAATAATAATAATGATGATGATGATGAGGCGAATTGGAGGAGACGGTGTCACGGGGGGGGTGGGGGGAGTCCCCGGTAACCTACCTGCCCGGGACCTGCCACTTCCCCTCCCGGTAAAGCCCCGGTGGCTCTCTTTTAAGTTAAACAGCGGGAGAAGGCAATGAGGCTTTTAAACCTCCTACAGTTTAAAAAGTTTTTTTTTTGCGCTCGAACGTAAAAAGCAAATACAAACCCCAGGACGGGCGCACAAAAAAAAATTCGATGCGTTTTGAGTGGTCGGTGGGTGGTGGTGGGGGGGAGAGGGGGAGAGGGAGAGCTGTGGTGTCTCAGTGCGGACCCACTGCACTACACGGTCCGGTCCCGTTTATCCCGAGACCTCACGGAGCGGATCGATAACTTCCTCCGCGTTCCTCCGCACTCCTCGAAAACCCCGAATGGGTTTCCGAATTAGAACAAAAACCGGAGGGGGCGGTTCGCGGGGACATAACGCGGGGGGTGTGCGGCGCCGCCCGGTTACAAAGGCTTCGATCCACCCGGTTCCGTGCCTGTGGGGGGGGGAGGGGGGGGGAACCGGGGGGGGGACGGGCGAGTGTTTGCCCAGTGTTCGGTTCGGTTTAGTTATTGGTTTATTGATTGGCGGAGCTCAGCAGTTTGTGGGGGTAAATAAAAGTAAGGCAGTGGGAGGGGGTCAATGGCTGTACCGGGAGGGGAGAGCGTGTTGGAAATGGATCTCATGGGTTGGAAATACTTCGGGGGGGGGGAGCCCCCGCGCACATGCCAATCATAATGCAAAGCACCAGCGAGAGCGGCACAAAGCGCGCAATTAGGAGCATTCACCATTAGCAAAAAAAAAGACGAGCCTTTAAAAAGGCGCCAATCAGACCAGAGAGGGGGGGGCGGGGCCACCTGTCAGTCGGGGCGGGGCCCCCAGCTGGGCTGCGCCAATCGGGAGGCAGCGCGGCGGTGACGGGCGGACACCCGGACCAATCAGCAGGCGCTCAGCCTGGCGATGGATCGTCCGCTCGGCCAATCGGAACCCAAGCCCCGTCCATTGGTCCGGTGGGCAGCGGCGGGGGGGGGTGGGGCGGATCCGGAGCTTCAGCCAATCGCGCTCGACAGCTCGAGGTGAGTGACGGCCACTCGTTCGTGAATGACCGCCCACCGGGCTCGGCGGTGGCGGGGCGGGGCCGGCCCGAGCGGACCAATGGCGGCGGCTGCCGTTTGAATACAGCCAATGGGCACGCCGGAAGGCGGGTCATGGGGGTGACTGGCTGGCGGTTCTGACCAATGGGTGCGGCGTCCGGGTGCGTGGGCGGGGCCCGATGGAGGTGTTAAAGGCCCGCGCGGCCAAGCGGCGGCTCATTGCTCCTCACGGCGGCACAGCGTGGAAGTGGAACCGGGAGTAACTTGAGGAGTAGCAGCAGCGTCCAGTCAGCCGTCCACTCCCGCGCGTCCCGACCCGGCTCTGCCTCCCGTGATTACAGTCGGAAGCTCCGCGCCTCGTCGTCAGCCGTTCAACCCGCCCGACCGTGCAGCCCAGCGATGGCCGATACCGCAGCGGGTCCCGCCATCGAGGTCAGCCCGCAGGTGAGAGAGCTGCTCGCGGGGGGGAGGGAGGGGAGGGGGGGAGCGGAGCCCCGGAGTCCCGCGTGTTTCCTTTGTTGTCTCTTTGTGTGTGTGTGTGTGTGAGAGAGGAGAGCGGCTCCCGATCGGCTCCCGGAGACGGACTGGAGAGGCCGCTCGGAGCCCCCACCATCGCCCCCCCCCACAAAAAAGGGTCCGAGGGTCTCCGCGCCCCTCAGCCCTCGGCCCCCGCGGTGTCTCGCGCCGCGAGATTTAATTTTAAAACTTATTGGGGGGATATTTTTTTTTTAAAAATTCCAATTTTTTTTGAATAACAATAACTAGAACGACGTCGATAAAAAAATATTTCCGGGAGGGGGCGGCGGGGGGGTGGGGGGGAGGGGGAGGGGCTGCGGACTCCCCCGGGAGAGTGCAGCCCCGAGTCCACCCGCCACGCTTTTCACCTCACGCAGAACTGGCGGGAGATACAGGCACGCGGGGCGGGGGGGGGGAGCGGGGCGGGGGGGGGGGGGGAGCGGGCGGCGGAGGGGGGGATGGCGGGGGGGGGGGGGGAGCCGGTGTTCGGCGGCATCGCTGATCCCCGGTGTGTGTGTAGGAGCTGAAGGAGAAGAAGGAAAAGGCGGCGGAGAAGGTGGAGGAAGCGGAGAAGCAGGAGAACGGCAGTGGGGACGCTCCCACTAACGGCACCGTGAGTCCCCCCTCACACACCCCCACACACACCCCCACACACCCCCTCACACCCCCCCACACACACACCCTCACACCCCTCACACACCCCCTCACCCCCCCCCCCTCACACACCCCCTCACACACTCACACACCCCCTCACACACTCACACCCACACACACACCCCCTCACCCCACACACACACACACACCCTCACACACCCCCTCACCCCCACACACACACCCCCCACACACCCCCCACACACCCCCACACACCCCTCACACACCCCCACACACACCCCCACACACCCTCACACACCCCTCACCCACACACCCACACACCACACACCCACACACCCCCTCACACACACACACCCACCCCCCACTCTCACACCCTCACCCCACACCCGCGGCGCCGCTTCCCGCTCGCCCCCCCGGGGTGGGCGCCCCCCTCTCTGGGTCCCCGCGGGTTCCGGCCGTCCCGGGGTTGGTCCGGTGGCCGCTTCGCTGCGCTGTGTGTAACGGGGCCGCGGCCGCGGCGCTGCTTTGCAGGAGGAGGAGGAGGAGAAGAAGAACGGCGCTGAGCACAAAGAAGCAGCCGCCGCCGAGCAGGTGGAGGAGGAAGAGGAAGGTGAGTGGAGAGAGAGTGGCCGCGGGTCACACACACACACACACACACACACACACACACACACACACACGCGCGCAGTGTGAGGAGGAGGAGGAGGATGATGATGAAGATGGTGTAACGAGCTGAAGTGTTGATTTCACGGCCGAAGACCGGGATGTTCGTGTCCCCCCCATCACCGCAGTGGTTTGTTTGCGGAATGGATTGGACTGCGGTTGAACTTGGCTGTTTGGAAGTTCCGCACCGCTGCTGGTTCATTGGGGTCACTGTGTTGGCTGCGGGGGTGGGGGGGGGGCTCACAGCCCAACCCAACTCCTCCCCCCCCTCCCCCGCCCGCCTTCTACGGGCTCACCGGAAACCGCGACCCTCTCGCTGGTTTACACGCGGAAACCAGGCGACCTTTCCGAACCCGAGGACGGTCGGCTTGACTTTAGTGCTCGGTTGTCTGTTTTCCGGACGGGGGGGATGTTTGCGTGACCCCCCCCCCCCATCACGTGGTGCGAGTTGTTGGGCTTGCGATGTTACTGGGCTTTCTTGAGCTTTTACCGGTGGCTTTATTTGCAGCCGAGGGTGAAGGTGAAGGTGATGAGGAGGACGGTGAAGGAGAGGATGAAGACGGTGCCGAGGAGGGCGAAGGAGATAAAACTGATAGCAAGACAGCCAAGCGTACAGCTGAGGAAGTGGTAAGTGTTTCACAGTCCTACTTGAGTGTAGTAGTTGTTGCTACTCAGCAACGTTGAGGTACAGCAAAAGTGGGTCCCGTGGTCGGGGAAACCACCTTTGCTAATGGTCATTTTCTCCCTGAGGCTACAACGACCTCTTGGTCAGGGAGATGGACTCATGGCACTTAACAAAAGCTGTTACGAGCAAACTTACAGGGGATGGTACGAAGACGAGGACCTGTTGAGTCCATTGAGATTGTGCTCTGCCATGTTCTGCCCCTGGGGGGCGCCCTTGTTCATATCGCGCTGAGGACATCCAGTGGCCGAAATGTGGTATTGCACCATAGAATTGACCTTAATCCCCGAGTGTGTTCTAAACTGGATTCAGAGCCAATCGTAGGTGTGGTCAGGGGTCAAGGATGGTCTGACGTGTGCGAAAATCCTTTAGGCCAGGCTTCTCCCTCTAATAAGCAACCCAAGAGCTTGCTGATTGCCGAGCGGGATTCTTGGCTGTCTGCCACCATGTGGCTAACAAGTCGTGTGTTCGCTCTGTTCTCTGACCGTGACCTTGCTTCCTGTAATGAGTTTTTTTTTGTTCTGTTTGTTTTAGGAGGAAGGTGAGACTAAGAAGCAAAAGACAAACGGAGAGAAGACAGATTGAAAAAGCTTAAAAATACATTCCCTCATTTCTGTTTTTATAACTGGTGATGTGGTCAGTTTTGGGGTCTAGAGGATGTGCTTTTGTATGTACGCTTGCAGAGTGCATGGGTTTTTTATATGTACTGTACAACTGGCTCTTGAAACACCTGCCCAGATGTTCTAGGAGAATATTTGTTTTTCTATGGAGTTATTTATTAATGCTCTTTGTACAACCATATGTTTAATGGGCTTAATTGCTGCACTAAATGTTTTTTGAGACTGTTTTGAGAAGGATTTGAAACTCGGGGTGTGGAGGGAGGGCAGGGTTGTACATTTCAGAAGCACACTCTCTAAGACTGGCTGACTACGTCCTCACTTTTAAGAGGAGAAATAGCTGCCCTTTTTTTTCTTTTTGTAAATGGTGTTTAGGGTAGAGTTTCATATGCAATGTGGAGGCCAAAGATATAGGTCCGGTTACCAGGTCCACAGAGCGCCTGGTCTGTCTCTATTCTGTACAAAAAAAATAACAAAAAAACTTACAAAAAAGAATCACAAAGTTTGGGTTCCACAATTTGTTACTGTTTATTGTTCGTGGTGCAAAAAAAAATCCTTCCAGCAAAAATTGACCGGTTCAATTTGTAAATTTCCTTTTGAAACTCATTGTAACGTCTGCTGTCATTTTTTTTTCAACCTGTATGTGGTTTCAAGGACGTGATTTAATGAAAGAAAGCATTTCCCATATTGAACAAGTTAAATTTGTATACCTCATTAGTTCATGCTTGACCACTACTTTGTATATTCTGGTTGAGTACTATAAATAAATCTTTGGGTTTTTTACAAAACTGGTTTCAAATTATTCCACTGCTGGCCACAGCTGTTTGCTGGTCAGTTTGGGTCATTTGGTGGAGAAAGCGTGAAAAATCTTTGGTTAACTTGTGCAAAACCTGTGTGCGCACATGCCCATGCAAAAGGTTACAAAAAGCACCAGCACTGCAGAATTTTATAAACCAACAAATGAGCACCTGGATTCTTCGCTCTTCCCAACAATTTGTACAAAATTAGGAAAGAAGCCGTAAACTCCTGGCTCACAATGATAGCTGGGCTCAGGGCGGAGGATGATCTTAACCCCTGAGGTGAGCCTTTGGCCAAGTCTCCACAAGTCGCCCTAATGCTCTTTGGTGAGATCTCCCACCAGTGGGCTTTAGTGTGGAGTGATACTCTGCCGTGCTCTGGAACCAGGCAAGCTCCGTTCACTTGGCTTGTGGGGTAGAATTGAGTGGTGTGAGATTGATTGCTGTTCATCAGTGTCCTGTCCTTAGTGTGGACTTGTCACTTGATTCTGCAATTGAATAAGTGCTCTTGAGATACGACCCCCATGAAGATCCCTAGTTATGTCCAATCCAGGATATGAACACTCAACACTGAGTGGGGAGATTGGTCGTGCACCGCGGTGTAAGGACAGCCGTGAGCCGCGCTTCCTCAGTGAGGTGGATGTACCTTTAAGAGGAGTTGCTGTTGGAAACTGGCTGAGCCCACTGGGAGCACCAGGGCTATAAATAGCCGGAGTCCAGCTTTATTTTCTATACTTAGGCCTCATTGTGTTGTGTATTTCACAAAGTATTTTGGGAAAAGCTTTCAACGGAAAGCTTGTGTTATTTATAAACGTATGTGAGTCAACACACATCGGTCTGATGGCATTCCAAGGCAGCTCAAGGTGGCGCTCTCTCTGCTACATTTGATATAATAATAAAATTATCCTGACATCTGACACACCTTTCCGGTTAAGAGAACGCCTCAATACGCAGCACAGTTTAGTGTATTTTGTGGATGAATGTGGTAACCAATTTGCACACAGCAACGTCACAAACAGCCAGGAATTGAATGACCAATGGCACCATTGCATGTTCAACTTTGGTTGTGATCACCATTGGGGAGCCCAGGCTGGTTTTACCTAACCCAACTCAACTGAGATCAGCAACTCAGTAAAGAACCACCATTCCAACCTCTTGCCCCCCCCCCACCCACCCAGTCTGGTCTCCAGCCTGACTCCTGTGTCTAGCTGCCAGTGCGTCCACACGTTTGAGCTGCGATTTTATTAGCCTCTGTTACTTCCCCGTTCGATACCAGCTCTTCATCAAAAGGCTTTGATTCAGCTGCAGAGCTCCTGCTATCTCAGACCGTATGGCGGCGGCTTTTTGTAGTGAGGCTTTGATCAGTTGCTTTCTCGCTAACATTGATGTCTGCGCAGTCTTGTTCCGGAGCTGCCTGACATCACCCTTCGAGGAAACTTGTCTGGGGAACGTGCATGAATGCGGCGATTGCCTTCAGCAATCCCAAGTGGAACATCTTGTGGTAACTGGAGGTATGACACTCGCTCACTGTGTTCCTCTTCAATCCTGTGCACCGCCGTCAGCCTGAAAGACACTCCTCAGTCCAGGCTGACACTCCCGTGCAGTGCCGGCGGGAGGCACTGCATCGTCAGGAGGGTTGACCTTCAGATAATAATAACAATAATAATAATCCTCGCATTTGATGTAGCGCTTTTCACGTCAGGAGGACGTCCCAAAGCGCTTCACAGAACGGACTGTAAAGTGAATTGACTGTATATTTGTGGCTGAACGCGGCAGCCAATTGCGCACAGCAATGTCCCACAAACAGTCGTAGATTGAAAATGACCAATTTATTATTGTTTTTGGTTTTGGAGGGATTATTATTAGGCTCTGTGTGGAGTAAGGAAACTTGCCCAAGGTTTCGCCCTCTGCCTGGAATTGAACTCAGGTCTCTCACTTGCAAAACGAGTGCTCTAACCACTGGAGTCCTGTAGCGGTTTGGGACGTCCTCCCGACGTGAAAAGCGCTATATCAAATGCAAGGATTATTATTATTATATTATATTACAGGACTCCAGATGAGATGCTATTGACCCAGTCCCTCCCATTCCCCCCCTCCCAGCAACTGCACACGCATCCACACAGCGTTGGAGGGGCTGGGGGCTGAGAAAACACGTTCAGTGTTATTGTAGCCACACGACCCAGAACTGCAGTAACAGAACGTTCCTTGGAGAAATGCAATAAAAAAACAAACATAAAAGGGAGTTTTCCAAATGTTAATTTTATTTAATGAGTTTCATTCCTTCACTTGCCCAAAATCCTGCTGCGTCAACAGGAGTGTAATACTCACTACATTTATATACATCTCACTCCCTTTTTTGCCTTTTGTCGCTTGACAGTGAGGGTTCAGCTAAAGTGAAAAGCTTTTGCATTGTATTTGTTGCTAGTTATAAATAGCCTCTGCAACAGTGAGGAGCGTTACTCTATGACTCCAAAAGGTCATTCTGTGGCTGACCTGGGAGTGTGTGGAGCTTTACTCTGTCTCTAACCCTGACCTGGGAGTGTGGACGGACAGTGTCGAGGGAGCTTTAATCTGTACAGTTAGGGTCTTCCACTATAAAGTGGAAAGATCTCTTTGCTTTCGTGACCTCAATAAATGTCCATCCGGCTCAGCGTATTAAGCACAAATGTTACTAAAATATAATTTGTTTTAAAAAAAATTAAAACTGATGTTTTCCTGAACTGGAGGCTTCTGAGAGAGGTGTGAGGTTTGCTGTGTGTTGGTGTCTGCACTGGGAGAGTGACAGGTAATACAAACACTCACTCCCAGCAACACAAACCGAGGGACTGGCCTCCCTCACCAGCAGAGGGCCACATTCGACCTTATACCTTGGATTAAAGGGGGGGGGGCAGCCAGAAATCTCCATCAGATCTACGTTCGGGGGGGGGGGGGGGGGGGGGCGATAAGGAGCAGGACCCCCGGCTGATTCCCCTCCTCACTAACTTGCCGAGGGCCACTGCGGACGGTGTGGCTGAGCAGGTGATATCGGCGAGGGGTGGGGTAGGGGGAAGAGAGGGTGCATGTGAAGCTTTTAAAGTGATCCTGTATGATAAGGTGCGGGGGGGGGAAAACAGCAGAAATAAGAGACATTGTGTCCTCAATACTGGCCCGGGGTTGGGGGACACTCTGTGTCTCAGTCTGTATAGAGGCCTGGACTGAGAGCAGCTCTTGTCTGGAGGACCATGTGCCACGTGGACAGTGTGTGATGGCCAATCGGTCCTGGGAACAGGTGACAAACCTGGCGTGAACTCAGGACGTTCCCTTCTAGCAGAGGTCGTATGCTGTAGCCCCCGTGTCCCAGGGGTTTGAGGGCGAAGGATTGAAGAATTGATATGGGGGTGGGAGCTGAGCTGGAGGTGGGGTGTCAGACGTTCATGAGAAGGGGCTGATCCTCCTCCCCTGTGTCCTCCGGGGGGATCTCGTAGATCACAAAGAGCGAGGAATAGAAGCAGCCAACGAAAGAGGTCAGGCTGGCAAAGTACATGACCGCACTGGCACTGCCCACGGCCGAGGTCAGAGGTCCCATCACTACGGAGACGATGATCTGTGCCAGGAAGTACTGGCAGCTCAACAACGACAGGTCCACACCCATCCCTCGCTTAGTCCCATCTGCACTCGACCCTGCAAACTGCACCACAAAGACATGCTGGGTTAGCGGAGGAACATCCAACACGTCAGTATGAACCCACGGGCGACAGCACCACAAACTGCCTTATTACCTTTCTATGCACTGACTTGCTCTGGAGATTGTTCCACAGTCACCTTCCCCAACAAACCACCATTCCTCATATGTACGTCACAGCCACAATCCTGTCTTCATCTGGCAGTCACGCACCTGGTGTTCTGAGGGCCCATCCCACCACCGCACCCCCAACACACAGCAAACCCCCTGAATTGGGGCCTTACACTTGCTTTGACACCTTTCCCCCACACACAGCAAACCCCCTGAGTTGGGGCCTTATATTTGCTGTGACACCTTCCCCCACCGAGGGTGGTGAGGACGAGCATCGGGTGACTAGGAGAGGAAAGGTTGGAGAGTAACCAAAGTGGTTCCGCTGAGACCCGGTGCCAATACGTACCTGCTTGCTCTGGTAGTAATCACAGAGCAGAGAATAAGGCAGAGTGCAGAGTGAGGAGAACAGCACCCCATAGGTCACACACAGAGATAGCAGGACATAGACATTGCGGCAGAGAGTGGCGATGCCCGTTCCGATGCCGAAGGACAAATACCCAAAGAAGTAGAGAGTTCGGATACTGAAATGCTCCTCTAACTTTTCCAGGATCGCTGTGGTAAAAAGAGCAGAAAGATGAGAACTCAGAATGTTGGGTCAGGCAGTGCAGGAAGGCGGGGGTGGCAATGGTTGGCAGGATGGGTGTTGTCAATAGTTAGGATTGGGTTTGTGATTATTGGGAGGGTTGTCAATAGCAAAAGTTGGGTTGGCGAAGGTTACAGTTGGGTTGGTGGTAGTTGCCAGAGTTGGGGATGGTCAGCAAGGTTGGGTTTGCAATGGTTGGAAGGATTGTGGTGGCAATGGTTTGCAGAGCTAGTGATGGTTGTCTGGGTGGCAGTGCAAGATGGCAGGAGCATCAGGTTGGGTTAGCAATGGTACCTGAGTAAAAGGCAGCACTGAAAGCGTAGATGCACATCCCCCAGCAGCCCATGCTGACCCCTGTGTTGTACTTGTGGAAAGCTTCAGAGTCGTGGGGAGCCTTAGCATCACCTCCGTACACCACCTCCCCCATAAAGTCAGTGTAAAACAGCAGCATTCCCTCAAAGGACAGCCACCCTGGGGAGAGAGTAGAGGTCAGTGAGTATATTGCGTAAAGGAGAGGCAGAGATGTGGCCCTAAGCTTGGAGATGGAGCCTGACCAGGTACCATCAGGACTTCGCTGTGGAATCCTGTAGCTCAGTGGTTAGCGCGCTCACTTCACAAGTGAGAGAACCTGGTTTTGATTCCCAGGCAGGGCGAAACATTGGACAAGTTTCCTTATTCCACACGCCTCTATTTACCTAGCAGGAAGTAGGAACCCGCTTGTTAGTAGATTAGTGGATCGCTTTTCTGCGGGTAAATAATCCCTTCAATAAAATAATAATAATTTGGTCACTCAATCTACAACTGGTTGTGGGGCATTGCTGTGCGCAATTGGCTGACGCGTTTCACTCACAAAGATACACAGTCAATTCACTTTACAGTGTATCCTGTGAAGCGCTTTGAGATATCTCAAAGACATGATAAGGCGCAGTAAAAAAATGCGAGGATTATTATTATTATTAATGGCCGCGGCGTGTGGCTGGAGGCCACGTGATCCCACTGTCACTCAACAATTCTCTGCGGTAATTGGCAGATGGTTAAGCACAGGCCCCACAATGAGAAAGCAGTGAGATAGGGAGAGGCAGAGTGTGAACTGTGTCTGACCATCAGCTGAGACAAGTCACTTCACCCTTCTCTTTACAGCCTTTCTGCACAAGGAATGTTTTCCTGCTTGGGGAGCCAGCTGGTGGGAGCATTTAGGAACTACAAGCGTGACTGGTCTCCTGCATCATCATCAGACAGGAAGGGTGTGACTCAACATACCCTCTAATAATAATAATTGATTGATTGATACAGTGCATCTGATGTAGTGTCTCATCACCTCATTCAGCGCCTCAATGAGCTTCACAGAATTTACTGTAAAGTGGATCGACTGCATGTTTTGTGGGCAGTAATCATCACAGCGGATAAAACATGGGAGGACGTCTCAAAGCGCTTCACTGTGTTTTGTAGGCATCCTGAGTGTGCTGAGTGTCCAGCACCCAATTATCAGCCCCCCCCCCCCGGCCAGGCCACCCCCACCCCCGCCCCCACCTCTCTCACCCGGTGTTGTGTTTGTACGTCAGTCACTACTCACCAGCTGGGCTCTAAGCATGCAGAGTAAGGGGGCAGCAGGGTACCTAGGAAGTGGTTGAGGCACAGTTTCCTCAGGGCTTTGGGCATGTGGCAGATGGCGGAGCAGAGAAAGGAGGTGGAGAACGGCCGCTCGCAGAATTCCCCCGATTCGTTCAGATCCGTTTCGTATTTTGCCCCGTTCAGTAAAATGTTTGCTACCTGCACAGAGAGCACATTCAGCAAATCCACTCTCATACAGTGACGGAGTAAAGCTCACTCTACACTGTCCGTCCAGAGTTACTCCTAGGTCAGAGTTAAAGACACAATAAAGCTCCGTATACACTGACCACCCACACTCCCGGGTCAGGGCTAGAGTTTAACGATACAGGTTTACCTGTTGGCTGAAAGTCACTGTTCTCCTACGCCCGGGGTCAGGGTGGGTGACGGTGACGGAGCAAGTGTTGGGGATGCTGAGGGTCTGTGGCCGCTTCAGGATTCCCGAGGCTCTGCGTTTGGAGGCGTCCAAAGATCCCACGCCCGGGCTGCCAGGCTCTGCGCTGGCCTCTTCCTCGTGGTGCTGTGCTGAGTCGGGCAGGCGGGGCAGGCTGGAGCTCATGATGACGCAGCTATCGTCATTGCGGCCGGTGGAGCAGCCGATCAGCACCGTGTCAATGTAGGAGCTGCCGTAGGAGGAGGCGAACTCGTTGATGCCCGACAGCGAGTTGTCTCGGCTCAGCAGGCTGCCGTACTTGGGTGTGAGCGGGCTGAGCGGGGAGATGGGGCTGCTCATGCCCGTGTAGAGGCCGGGGGTCTGGTCGGTAGCGGGGTCTCCTTCTTCCGGGCCGGGTCCAGTGGGCGGGGAGGGGGGCAACGCCAGGCTGGGGCTCTTCATCACCCTCTTGGTCCCAGTGTCGGGGGGCAGCGGGGTCTCGGGGATGCTGGTGAGGGTCAGGAGTGTCGCTACCACCAGCGTCACCGAAGTGAACAGGTAGACCACCCGCAGCTGCCCCCCGAGGTTCCGCCCGAAACTCGTCCGCTCCCAGTTTATTCCCCCGACAACATAGCCAAAGCCACCGCCCAGACCTGAAACACACACACACACACCATATGCTCCGTCACACGCCCGGCAGCTCTGCACACGGCGCACACGCCTGCCCCCTTCAGAGCACATGCGTGTGCTTATAGGTCCCAATAGTTACAAGCTAGTTTGTGTTCTTTCCTCCGGTTCAGAAAGTTGTGGGTTTGAGCCCCACGACAGAACTCTGAGCTCACAGTCAAAGCGCTTCACAGCATGTGCTACAAAGTGCAGTGACTGAATATTTTGTGGGCGAAACCCGGCAGCCAATTGCCTACAGCAGTGTCCAGCAGTGTCCCACAAACAGTTATGGATTGAGTGAACAAATTATTATTATTATTTCCTTTTGAAGTGATTATTACTTCAAGAAAAGCGATCTGCCAATCGACTAACAACCGGGTTCCTACTTACTGCTCGTGGAGTATGGAAACTAGAGGCATGTGGTGTAAGGAAACTTGCCCAACGTTTCGTCTTGCCCGGGAATCGAACCCAGGTCCTCTCGCTTGCGAGGCGAGTGCTCTAACCACTGAGCTTTCTTTTCGACCGCGCCTTCGGTCACCTTTCCCCCCCTCTGGCTCGGGCCCGGGATCCGTTACTCTAAAGCGCTCTGAGACGCTGTCCGGCGTGGAGGGCACTATATAAATCCAAATTGTTGTTGTTGTTGAGCTACAGGACTGAACATTCTGAACAGTTGGTGTTCCCGGGCCGGACACTGACCTGCGAGGAGTGCGTGGATGTTGAGCCCCCTGTCCTGGTCCTCGGCACAGCACACGTCCATCATATAGGCGTGGCTGGGGTTGTCGGCAGAGTCTGCGCTGAAGTCCATGAGCACCACACCGCACACCGTCAGGATCATCCCCCAGCGGTGATCGCTCACCGTGTCTCCTATAGCCACCCCCGCATCCCGGCCATTCAGCACCAGCGACAAGCCCATCAGCGCTCCTGCCGAGAGGAGCGAGAGAGAGAGTGTGAGAGAGACTGATCTCAGAGTTCCTAACTCCCCAGCTATGTGCCCCCCCCCCACCACACACACAAACACAGCCCCCCCCTACACACATAGCCACTCCCCCATATAGACACACTCATTGCCCCCCCACACACACACACAAACGCACACAGAGCCGCGGTGCTGCCTGACGCTCACTCACCGATGCCCAGCACCAGGATGAAGGGTCGGCGACGGCCGAAGCGCGAGGTGCAGCTGTCGCTCCAGGCTCCCAGGATGGGCTGCAGCAAGAAACCTGCAATCACAGCATGCATTGGTGCCTCACCGCAGGCAGCACAAGGACAGTAACGCAGCGTTGCACGTGTGAGAGGACAGCACACGGCGAGGCTCCATTGGCTTCAGAGCTCAGTGACTGCTCCAGGGGGTCACGAGGAGGGGTGCGTGTTAGTCAGCGTGTGTCTGGGCATGTCAGCATGTGTATGTGGGTGACACGCGGGCAAGGCAGGGTGGGGGTTGATGTAATGTGCTGAGATTGGGGTGTGTGGGGTGGGGGAGGGGGGCTAATGTGCTGAGGTCTGGAGGGGTGTTGCGGCACTTACCCAGGATGGGGCTGATGAACCATACCAGGCTATAGAGCTGGTCGGGGAGTCCCATCTGCAGGAGGACGGGGGTGACGTAGGCGGTCTCCATGGCATAGCTGAACTCCACCCCGAATAGGATGCAGCCATTGAAGAGCAGCTCCCGGAAGGAGCGTCGCGGCGGGGGTTCCGGGAAGTGGGCGAGGTCGAGGGGGATGGGGGTGTTGGGAGGGGGCGGGGGCGAGGGGCGGATGAATTTCCTCCTCTTGGGATGTCGCTTGTAGTTGTTGGCCCGGTGGCTGAGGTGCCGCGTGGTGGCTAGGGGGAAGACGCAGGCCGGGGGTCCCCAGGGCTCCTGGGAGACCGGGGTGGGGAACATGCCATCGCTTGGCGTGCTGGGCTTGGGGGAAGCCATTCCACCGTCTCGTGTCCACTCCCTCAGCTCAGCGTCCTGCAGGCAACGTGCACCAGTTACACCGAGGCCAGGTTCAATCACAACATTACTCGTCTCGCCCGGTCTGGGTCTAACCCAAGATTGACTTGAATTTATAAGAATAATAATACTTAACCCTTGCAATTGCTACAGCGCCTTATCACGTCTTCGAGTCATCGCGAACCGCTTCACAGAATACGTTGTAAAGTGAACTGACTGTGTCTTTTGTGGGCGAAACGTGGCAGCCAATTGCGCACAGCAGCGTCCCCGCCCACAGTTGGGAGTTGATCGAGTGACCAACATGATTAATATTATGATGATTATTTTTTCGAGGGGATTATTATTAGCCCCTGGAAAGCGATCAAACGAGGGGTGAGTGACAGGGAGTGAGTCACAAGGCAGGGACCCTCCTCGCTGCCCTCAGTCGCACACAACAAGCGACACGCACACATAGATTCGGCTCCAAGACCGCATTTAAGTGCTGGTTTACACACGGCACAGCTCGCCAGCCTCACTGAGATTCAGATTCCCAGCTAATCGCCCACTCCTGTAATTGCAGCCACACATGGTGCCGTTCGCTGACACTCACAGCGCTGCTTTTGACTGTCCTCTGACTCTGCAGTTTCGTAACCGGAGGCCTCGCTCCCTACACAACCCCCTTCCCCCACCCCCACGGCCCCCACCCACCCATCCACACACACACACACAAAACCCCTCCCTCCAACACGCCCCACACCCCTCCCCAACACACACACACACACACACACACCCCCCGGCCGCTACACAAATACCCTACACGCCTCCCCATACAACCCCACCCACACAAACACCCCACCCCCCATACACCCCTCCCCCCACCGCGCACACACACCCCTCCCCCGCACAACTCTCCCCCCACCCCGCATTGTTCCATTGTCTCTCTTCGGCTTCACTGAGCGGTCAGGGTGGGCAGCTGGAGCCCGGCCCCCCCACCCTCCCATCACTGGTTGCGAAGACCAGCCCAGCCCGGCACTGCCTCACCGCAGCAGACAGCACTGCAGCAAGCAGCTCCGCAGTCAGGGCAAGGCTGCAGCCACCGCACGCCCCAATGCAGCAACAAACCCTCAGCCTTGTATGGCAATTACCTGGGGCCAGGCAGCCTCCTGCTCCCTGTCATTAGGCTGGAGATGCCCGCCTCCCGCTCCTTCATATTCCTGCCTTCATTCATTCATCATGAGCCAGTCTCTCTCTCTCTCTCGCTCTCTCTCTCTCTCTCTCTCCCTGGACCTGACGTCAGCAAGGCTGAGGCTGCAACAGTGCAGCGTGTGGTGTGACAAGGTACGGCATCGGCTCCCAACACCCGCTGAGCAGGTACTGACAACAGCAATCTGCCAAGTAATCAATTGCACTGGAACATCGCAAAGTCCCTCTCACAGGCAGGAAATTCCCTGGTAATCGCTGTCCAGTGTAGTGACTGTGTGTTGGCAGGCAAGCCTGATTGCTAGTTGCCGCACAGCGAAGTCGCTTACAAAACACACAGTCACTACACTTCGCAGTCAATCCTGTCAGGCTCTTTGAGACATCCTCCTGATGGGAAAGGCAGTGTATCAAATGTAAGGATCATTAGTAATGCCACACAAACAGCCTGAAGTGACTGATTGATTAATCTGGAGAATTGCCAGCCAGGACACAGAGAGAAACTCCCTTCTCTCTTACAATAAGGTCGCAGGATTTACGAGGTCAGTGACAGCATGGATTAGAGACAGAGTGAAGCTCCTTCCACGCTGTCCGTCCACACTCTCAGGTCAGGGTTAGAGACATTGTAAAGCTCCCTCTGCAGTATCTATCCACACTCCTTGGGTCAGTTAGAGACAGAGTAAAGGGCTGAGACTGGCTGAGGTAACCTTTGCGGTGTTTAATAATGCATTCGTTGTGTGCGTGTGAGTTAGTTAGTTGGTTTCGAATTCAAGATCCTCATCCTCACCTACAAGGCTCACCTACAAGATCCTCATCCTCACGGCCTCGCTCCCTCCTACCTCTCCAACCTACTATCCCCCTACTTACCTGCCCGTACCCTCCATTCCTCTGGCTCCGGTCTGCTCCACATCCCCCGCCCCAAACGCCCTACCATCGATGGCCGGGCCTTCAGCCTCTCAGCCCCGAGGCTCTGGAACTCTATCCCCAGTGCCTTTGCCGCTTCCTCCCTTTCCTCCTTCAAGGCCGGTCTCAAGCCCTTTCTCTTTGACCTTCAGCCTTCAGCTCCTTTCTCGACTCTCTACCCCCTCCTCGCTCCCTCCCTTCCCTCCCCTCACCATTTCCCCCCAATGCTCGGGTCCTGACCCAACTGTACAGCGCCTTGGGACGTCCTCCCGACGTGAAAGGCGCTCAATAAATGGAATCTTGTTGTCGTTGTTGTTGTTGGTTAGTTAGTAGAAGGAACACACTGAGAAATGTCACAAACTCCACCATGTGGTGCCAAAATAGCCCGGTTTAAACCCGAATAGAAGGGCTTAACTGCAAACCTGCAGTGGCAGCCTGTGGCTACCAGAGGGAGACTGAGGCACACAGTTCCAATGCGGTAAAGGAGGCTTGTGTAGCACACCCCTGGCTGACCTTGGCAAAGCTGCTTTGCTGCTGGTATAATGAGCAGCTTGTGTTGCGCTCGATCTAGCCAAGTGTCAGCCGATGATGAGTTACATCCGCTTCCGTGGAGTGTACGAGGTGAAGGCAGGCTCGCTCGGTCTCGTCTCAATCCTCCTTGATCATCAGCTTCATTCCTTCACCTCCTCCTCCTCCCTCCGCCCTCCTCTTCCATGCATAAGGCACAAGATGAAAAGACCCTTCAGCCTGACTGATCTCATCCTTCCCGATCACCCGCTCTGTCAGCCTCATATTCTAATGCTGAGCTGCCTCTTGGAGGAGTCTGGCATGATAGCCCACGTGAAGGGCGCTATATAAATGCAGGTTGTTGTTGTTGAGTCCATTTTCCTGGCCTCAGCCACCCTCCTGGTCACCCTTTTCCAGCTGTTAAGTACCCTCTGAGTTAATACTTCCTGGAGTCTGTCCCATACATACCCTCCTCAGCCACCGTACACCAGTGATCCACTGTGACCTCTTTGCTAGCGGTTTATTCTCTCAATCCCACTAGAGACCAGGATCACGTCCGTTCTCAGATGTCTGTTTACAAGGCTGAGGAGCACAGCGTAAAGCTTGTTTGGAGCTTTTTGCGGCCTTATCCTGTCACCCCCTTCGTGTCCAACCCTCCCCTCACCCCGCTCCCCCACCACCCCTCGCATGCCCCCCCAACCCCCAGCTAGTGAAAGACCTTGGATTACAGATTGATTAATCAGTTGGAGGTAATAATCTCTCCATAAAATAAAATAATTTGGTCACTCAATCCACGACTGGTTGTAGAACAATGCCTTAGGCAATTGGCTGCAGCATTTCGCCCACAAAATATACGGTCAGTACACTTTACAGTATATTCTGTGAAGTGCTTTGAGATGTCTCAAAGATATGATAAGGCGCTATATCAAATGCAAAGATTATTATTAAAAGCAGCCATCAGCTCCCCCCACGACAACCATGACTGTCAGGATTGTGCTCTGTTGCGGGGGTGAGGGGGTGTGGGGGATGTGTGCGGTGTGTGACTACCTCGTGAGAGACAAAGCAGGAGAGAGCAAGAAATAACAAAGCCCTCTTGTTTTTTGGTTCAGCCAATAAATGAGGTGCATTTCCTTTCATTTGCAGCTGCAGATTAGAGAGACAGAGACAGAGCAACAAAGAGTTAATGAATTCTGTATTTATTTAAGTGAAACCCAATCTTACAGATCTCCAGTTGCCTCACCCCAAACCCATACCTCTGGGCTATTCCGGTAGCGTCCATCCTCCCACACAGTGGGTGGGTGGGTGAGTCAGGCCTGCGCTCACATGGCCCGGCTCTGCTCAGGGGCGACCAATCTGGACCACTGTATAGAATAAAGCTCCCTCTACACTGTCCGTCCACACTCGCAGGTCAGGATTAGAGCCAGAATAACACTCCCTGTACACTGTCTGCCTTGACTACTGGATCAGTGAGAGCAGGGAAACTGCTTGGCACTGGCTGTGCTGTGCGGCTGGTAACCTGATCGCTGCTGGTTGATTGTCAGTCTTGACGTGTGATGTTGGCCTGTGGCGGAGAATGTCTCTGAATTCTGGCCTCAGCTCAAAGTGAAAATAACACTGAAACGCTGAGTGGGTGTTAACCCTGACATTCCTGCCCGGAGCTGCACATGTCCTGAGAAAGATTGGTCAGTTCTGATTTTGTCTTACACTGGGAGGCAGTGAGAGGTTCCCCACTGGAGTTTTCTACTCTAATCCCATTCCCTGCTTTCCCCGTCGTGTCTGTGCTGGTGCTCGCTCCCCCCCGTTGGAGCTCTCTACCCTGACCCCATTCCCTGCCACTTTCCTCGTCACAGCCTTGTAAATTCTCTTGTAAATATTGTTCTGGTTTCAGTCTCAACGAGCTGTGTGGCCAATGCATTCTGTGCGGGAAGAGCTCCAAGTGACAATCCTGAACTTGTCACTGATTTACCGAGTGATATATATTCCTGTACTGATGTGTCACATCCTGTGTAGCCACCAGGGAGCACTGCAGCCTTACTGTCAGGGCTCCCTCACGTCACCCTCAGTCATAGTGTGAGTCTCAGTGCTCAACAGCTCCAACCGTAACATTTTACGTTAACATTTGACATGTTTGCCGCAAAGTCTGCGATATTTCTTAAGGAATCCGAGTGAAGGACTCCACCAGCATAGCCCTCGAGCTCCAGCAATCGTCACTCTGAAAATAGGACCTAGAGTGTCTTAGACTGCGTGAGAGTGAGCGAGAAACAACAACAAATTGCAATTGCATAGCGCCTTTCACGTCGGGAGGATGTCCCGAGGCGCTGGACAATGTGGGGTTTGCACCCGAGTTGGGGGTTGGGATCAGAAAGGAGTGGAGGGCAGGGAGGGTGGGAGGGTGACCGAAGGCTCGGTCGAAGAGGAAGGTCCTGAAGGAGGCAAGGGAGGGAGTGAGGCAGAAGAACTCTGGGATGGAGATCCAAAAGATGGGGCAGAAAGGCTGAAGGCTCGACCGCTGATGATGGGACGGGCCAGGTGGGGGAATGTGGAGCAGGCTGAAGACTGCTGCGCGGAGGGAGCGAAGGTTGATAAAGTTTTAATAGGTCACATGTTGAGGCCATGGTGCCGTGGCACAGTGCTGGTGAACACACAGGGTCTGTGACCATCAATGTTTCCTTCTGTGAGTGTTTGCTGGAGCCCAGACACAGCAAGCGAGGGATGGAGAAAGTGTTTGAGGGAGGGTCTGTGTGAAGGAGGGAGGGAGAGAGGGAGGGGGTGTGAAATACTCCTTGTTGCTGCCCCTGCTGTGAAGGGAATCTCTCTCCCCCCACTCCTCCCCAACATGGCCAGATGAGCATGTGGTGGTCAAGGTTACACTCTCGTCCCACTGTGTACACAGTGCTTCCTATAAAGCCTGTTCGATTTCTAGGTAAAGGCAGTGACTGATGTGTTGAACGGCTTCTGTCCCAGATAAGGTTCCAGCCACTGAGATAACTAACTGCCCATAACACACACCAGGCCAGCTCGCTTGTCCTGTCTGGGCTCCAGGAAACACTCACATGGAAACAGTCACAGAACCTGGGCTGTTTACAAGCTCTCTGTGTCCTGGCCTCAACTTGTCCTGATCTGATCTCATTCAGACCTGCAGATGTACCAACCGCAATCCAACCCTCAACCCCAGCCACAACTCCAATTCTCAACCCCTAACCCCAACTCTAACCCCTAGTCTAAACCCTCAACCTCAATCCCCAACCCTCATCCCCAACTCCAACCCTCAAACCAACCTAGCCTATAACCTCAACCCCAGCCCCCAGTTCTCAGCCCCAATCCCAACCCTCAACCCCTAGCCCTCAACACTAACCCTCAAACACCAACCCTCAAACCCTAACCCTCCCAAAACTCAACTTCCCAACTCTGCATCTTATCAGTGTCCAATTATATCATAAACCAATTACATCCAAACCAAATCACTTGTGTATATTACAATCCAATTATAGCTCCACCATTGCACAATCCCAAACACACTCATTTCCATCACGGAATCCCATTCTCCAAACATTTCCTGTCAGCGTCCATCCCCCATTCATCACGTTGTGAAGCACAGGAAAGGCATGACTCAGTGGGACAAAATGGGCTC